AAGATCTTCATGAAAAAGCAAACAAATATTCCATCGCATTGCAGAGATTTCTCACCATGGTAAAACAAGGAGAAAAAGACCAGAACACACTAACTTTGTCAATGCCGGTCGCTGAGGATTTTCACTCTTCAGAGCAGAAGAATCAAGAAGGAAGAGATTTTGTTTTTGAAGAAGTTTTAAAAAACATGCCAGGAATAAAGCTCAGCATATTCTGGATAAAATGTCCTCCTCAAAAAACATGTCTGCATGGACTGAACGTGGGGAGTTTGTGTTAATGTTATTAAAGGGTCTCATGTGTATGACTTGATAAGAGGAGTGACTGCGTCTCACAACGTGTCTGACAGCCAGAGACCTACAGGTTGGGATGAATATCTGCAATCGTTGGCTATATTGAATATACCTTTATCAGTTGTACCAAATCAACAGGTCAAAAGAAAAATTGACGAGATTAAGACAAAGACATCTGGAGAATCTTCTCCTCTTATTACTGGATCACCATCTACACCTCTTGTTACCAGAGGGCATCGATTAGCAAACAATGAAACAAGTCCCTTTGTATCTCCTGAAATGTGATTGGAGTGATTGGATTTGAGTGATTGGATAACTTTTTAATTGTTTTTAATCGTTGTTGGTTTTAAATAAATACATTGAGACATATTTCAAAAACACATTTCAAAGTGTTTTTATTTATATCACCATAATAACAAAAAACACTGTTGTACACGTTTCAATCTATAAATCATTTTGATAATGAATGGCACACAACTTCTAATATTATTATACACGTTTATTACTATATTTAGTCATTACATTGTCATAAGATAACCCTCTAGCCATGTGGTAAAGAAAAAACACACAATGCTGACCGCACACTACAGAATCCACATCTTGCACTTGTCTAACAGAATGTTGCGTGGACTTACAATTACTGTTGAGAAAGACAGAAAGGATTCAGGAAAATGTGAGTATACCAGTGTGTTCCCAAAATTGTCAAAGAATGATCCCACACCCTGCTTGTCAATATAGATAGCGACCCAGTGTTGTCCTCCCAGGTGGGAGGGGTCTGTGTTTACCACCAACATGGCGGGTCTCTTTTTAATAACTGATTTAGGTTTTGACAGTTCTATCGTATTCATACTATCGTTTGTTAAAGTTAGAAAAAGTCAATGAGAACCTGTCTTCTTGATGATATCTCAATTATAGAATCATATGTGGGATAAATAACCACATTTATTGTGCGTTGAAGCGGATTTCTAATCTAACACTACCGTTTGAAATGAGCTACATATGGTCTCCGCATCCTTCATCAGGGCTCAGGTTCAAACAGAACAGACTATATCCATTACAAAACTCATCGCGGGTTATGGCCATAGCGTTGTTTTTAAGATACTTTCCAGTTGCCGAGTACAATTGATGATACTCCCTGATGGCATTCCCTCTGGTAAAGTTAGGTTGAAAGGGTTTTGAAGGATATTGTTGGACGTCAACGTATAAACATAAAGACTTTATATCATAATGGTTAAATGTAAATACAATAAAATTCTACAATAAAATTAGGTATTTGTCCCAAGAATATATTTTCTTGAGTATAAACACGAGTGCCTGTTGGGACGCTAAAGTTTTTAAGACAGACTCTGTCTATGGGATATTTAACATTGCCATGCGTTAATGCCTTAGCGTGTGCGTGTGTCTTCTCCTTGCTTGTTTATTTTTTCTAGTCTTAGTATGGGTCTTCTTATTTGTTGTTCAGCTACGCCTCTTTGGTGGGGAACTCCCTCTTTTCCCAGGCGGTCGTTTTATTGGTCGGGGGGGCCACGGCCACTATACCCGACCCCTCTTGGCGTGTCTGTCCATGACGTTAGTAATAACATCCGTAGCTATGTTTTTAGCAGCTGTCTTTAAATGAGGGGCAACAAATGTAAATCCTTGCTTGAGTAAGGGGAATGCTAATCTAAAAAATCCCCTAAAGATACCCCCTAACCCTGCACCATACTGAGCACCGAACCCGCTGTATCCTGGTAAATCACTTACTTTGCATTGTGAGCATATGGATGGTACATATTTGCTAGATAATAAAGTGTAGCTTTATTATCACTTTGCTGTACGTAAAAGAGATATGTTGATTCTGATCTGTCTTGAGAGAAATCTCGATACTATCAATGTGTGTTTTGCAGAGCCTCAGGTAGTGTCTCTCATAAGTATTTGTGATCATATGGTTGTTTGGCCTCGATATATTTACTATTCTTAAAAGAGGGACGTAACTATCCCCTACTGTTTGATGATCAACAATATCGGAATAAACAAATATATTATACATCCGTACATTAACATCGGCAGGATGTGGCGCCAAATATGGCATCTGTGTCAACACTGTGTTAGTGTGTGGCTGAGATCTAAATGTTGCAATTCCCTCGTGAGTTTTAAAAGCCGCTCCGGGGATAAATCCCAAAATTTATGCAAGTTTTCCTTGAAACGTTAATTCTACATCTCTCGTTGGTAAAATGCTTACTCTGTTTGTAATATTGTTGTAATCAAGCCATGTCGTTTTCAGATAAACAGCTATTTAGTTCAGCTATTATCTGTGACATTGTCGTATAGAACCCCTCTGTCGCTGATAGAACTACCCTCTTATTGGATTTTTTATCCATCACAACAAATTTTGAGTCTTTTGATGAAAAAGATTTCCATGTTTTGGATATTGTATTTCTACCAAACCCACCCTGTATGTTGAAAGTGTAAAGGCTTGGATAGTTTCGTTCTAAAGTTTGCTATTATATTGTAAAATAATGCAGACGAGTTGCTGGGCAGGGTGACAAAAAAACCCTCTGTATCCATTTATACGTGTGTTTGTAAGCTGCTAAGGTAGCTGTATGACCTGTTTTTCCAAAATCCACGAGTTAAATTTATCTGGCCATCCGACCCATTTGATTAACACCATGTCCCGGCCTTGTCTTTTCTTTCTCGATAAAATCTTTTAAATGTTTTTTTTTAATCTATAATAACCTATGGTAGCTCATATAATGTTCTATGTAATATTTCACCATCATAGTCTTTTAACCTGTAAACAGGAGGGTCCCTTGACACGCATTCCTTTACAGTGAAATATTCATCTGTATAATTTTGCTCATAACCTTTTTTACTTTTTTATCTTTTGTCTTATACAAGTTGTCGTTTGTTACATCAATTGGTTTCATTTTAATACTACGATGATAACTATGATTGTAGGAGTCCGTTTGTCAAATCTAGAACAACATAGTGTCCCATCTGTGTCACATATCGCATTGTTAACAGATTCACACAACAGTGTTCTCATCTCTCTAAGGTTCTGGAGAAAGCAGTTGCTAAACAGCTGTGTGACTTTCTACAGAGCAATAGTTTATTTGAGGATTTTCAGTCAGGATTTAGAGCTCATCATAGCACAGAGACAGCACTGGTGAAAATTACTAACGACCTCCTTATTGTATCAGACAAAGGACTTGTCTCTGTACTGGTTTTATTAGATCTTAGTGCTGCATTTGATACCATTGACCATCAGATCCTATTGCAGAGACTGGAATATTTCATTGGCATTAAAGGAACCGCACTAAGCTGGTTTAAGTCCTATTTATCAGATCGATTTCAGTTTGTACATGTTAACGATGAGTCCTCCATGCACGCCAAAGTTACTCATGGAGTTCCTCAAGGATCTGTCCTTGGACCAATCCTCTTCACTTATATATGCTTCCTTTAGGCAATATTATCAGGAAACATTCCATAAGCTTTCATTGTTATGCAGATGATACTCAGTTATATCTATCGATCAAGCCAGATGAAACTCATCAGTTAGCTAAACTTCAAATGTGCCTTCAGGATGTTAAAACCTGGATGACCTGTAATTTTCTCATGTTAAACTCAGATAAAACTGAAGTTATTGTTTTGGGGCCTAAGCACCTCCGTGACGCATTATCTAAAGATATAGTTTCCCTGGATGGCATCGCCTTGGCCTCCAGCACCACTGTAAGGAATCTTGGAGTTATCTTTGATCATGTCGTTTAAGTCTCACATTAAGCAAATTTCAAGGACCGCCTTTTTTCACCTACGTAATATTGCAAAAATCAGGAACATCCTGTCTAAAAATGATGCAGAAAAACTAGTCCATGCATTTGTTACTTCTAGGCTGGATTACTGCAATTACTTATTATCAGGCTGCTCGAAAAAGTCAATTAAGACTCTTCAGCTGATCCAGAATGCTGCAGCACGTGTTCTGACAGGAACCAGGAAAAGAGATCACATTTCTCCTGTCTTAGCTTCTTTGCATTGGCTTCCAGTAAAATCCAGAATAGAATTTAAAATCATTCTTCTTACCTACAAAGCTCTTAATGGTCAGGCACCATCTTATCTTAATGAGCTCATAGTACCTTACTACCCCACCAGAGCACTGCGCTCCCAGAATGCAGGGTTACTTGTGGTTCCTAGAGTCTCCAAAAGTAGACTAGGAGCCAGAGCGTTCAGCTATCAAGCTCCTCTCCTGTGGAACCAGGTTCCAGTTTGGGTTCAGGAGGCAGACACCATCTCCACATTTAAGAGTAGGCTTAAGACTTTCCTCTTTGATAAAGCTTATAGTTAGGGCTGGCTCAGGTAGTCCTGAACCATCCCTTAGTTATGCTGCTATAGACCTAGACTGCCGGGGGATTTCCTATGATGCACTGAGCTCCTCTGTCTTCTACTTTCTCTCCCTCTGTATGCAACCTTATCCCATTATTGCATGTTACTAACACAACTTCTCCCCTTTCTGGTAGTCTTGTGCTTTCTCGTCCCTCTCCTCTCTCCTCCTATCACTTCCTGCAGGTTTTCTGGCTCTGGAGCTGTGGAGTCTGGATCTGTGGCTGCGGGTCACCTGCTGCCCCATCATTAACATTACGATGGTTACCATTAACACTATTATAAATATCTGTACCATTTTTCATTTAGTCTATAGCAACATTACCTTCACTGTGTGTACCTCTGTGTGTATATTGCAGAACTGCAGCAGGCCGCTGTCCCAGAGCTACTGTATGCTCCTGAGTCTCTGGCTCCATCATCTCTCCTGTCCGGCTTCCAGTTGTCAGTGGCTTCCATTTCTGCTGTCCTGTTGCTGGTCTCTGGTCCTGCTCTCCAGTTGTTGGTCACGTCGCTGGCCTCCTGCTCGCCCTCTGGAGGACCCCCATCCTCATCACCTCCAAGAGGTTTCTGTGATGGTTTCGGGTTTGGTGATTTTGCTGTTAGTTGGTAAGCGCTTCCTCTTTCAATTCCTGTCTCTGTGTTGTGTGCTCCTGCTCATGTGCTACCATTGTGCCTCATCAATCACTCCCCTTTTGGTGTATATTAGTGTGTTCAACAGGTATTCCAGTGTTCATTCTTATCCTTGGTGTTTCCTGTGGACTTATTACTGGATTATGGATTATGAAAAGTCATCGCATCCATAATCCATCCAGACCAAACTGGTTTCATCAAAGACCCACAAGCACACAGTAACACACACAGACTGTTTAACATAATGCATTACTCATCATTACAAGAAGCAAGAACCATCATGACCACACTAGATGCTGAATAGGCTTTTGATAGGGTAAACGAGAAATTTCTGTTTTCCACATTAGAACGTTTTGTTTTTGGGGAATCATTTATTAATTGGAAAAAAATTCTATGCACCACACCATCAGCCAACATCATTAACAATGGACTAACATCAAAAAGCTTCACACTATACAGGAGTACTGGATGTCCACTCTCCCCCTCTTTATTTACCATTTTCATTGAACCATTAGTGGCAGCCGTCCGTCAGAACACCCACATTCTTTATGCAGATGATATATTACTATTCCTACAAGACCTGCTAACATCATTACAAAAAACAATAAAACTAATTGAAAAATTCTCCAAAATTTCAGAATACTCTATCAACTGGGAAACATCATCTATTCTTCCACTTCAAAGTAATAGCTTGGATGTGGCAGCCCATTCATCACCTATATCACAATGCACAAGTCACATCACATATTTAAGCATTAGAGTTTCCCCCAAGCTGTCAGAGCTATTCAGTCTCAACTTTACAGCATTACTTAAAACAATAAATGACGACCTTCAGCGCCGGATGAACCTACCAATATCCATTATGGGTAGAATATCTATGAACAAAATGACAATATTTCCTTATATAAACTATCTATTCTCAATGATCCCGACACAACCCACTCTCACCTGGTTTAAACAATTTGACTCCATCATCTCAAAACTTTATTGGTAGAACAAAATACCAAGAAAAGACACAAGGAGGCCTGGATGCTCTTCTCTCTCCTTTCTCTTTCTTTTAGCCCCCGCCAGCCTCTTTGCCTCTCTCTCTAGATTATCCATCTAATAGGCATCCCCATACACACATACACGAGATTAAGTAATTGAGTTGCTGCTGTTGTTATTATTGTCGTGTATCTGCAGTTTTTTGTTGTTGTTGTTTTGTTGGGTTTTTTTCTTTTTTTCTCATCTTGTATCGTCATGTCTATGTTGTGTATTTTAAAAAAGAAATGCTAAGAAAGGCTAGTAAACCATGTTTCAAAACATTTAAAAAAATTCTCCTTTGTAAATGTTTCAAGAGGAAGGAAATGCATTCATTAGGTTTGTTCGACCTCAAGGACATACACAATGCATTCAGTAAACAGAAACTTTATTGGCTTACAAAAAAACTCCCCAGTGGAGCTTTAATTGTTGATCCTCAACAGGATGTGAACTCTGGTCTTCTGCATAAGGTCAGATGCACAGTTAATTTGTGTGTCTATTCCCACTGTGCTCTAACTCTAAAACCTAAAGCATGGCAGAAAATATCAGAGAAGATATATGGGATACCAGGTATCTCATACATTTATATTGTAATTATTGCAATTTATATTGTAATTATTAAGCACCTTACCTGGATGCTAGGGTTATGTGCTGCTCCACTGTCTTTCATAACCTATTTGCATTTGGTAGGTTTAGTTAAGTTTAGGCACAAAAACGTCGGTAACCAAGGGTAAGAAACCAATGTATAGGCAAGTTGTCCCATGTCACAGGCTTTGTTGACCCTCCATCCACCCCACCTCCTCCACAAGGCATTCCAACTCTAAAACTACTTCATGACTCAGCTATTCCAGTCATAATTCATGCAACCACAAGAGGTCATTGTTATTATATTATAGTCTTTTTAGGCATTTGAACAAATGACAAATGCAGTTGTTTATCATCTGAGGACAGCCTATGTTGGTGTTATTTAATGTCTCTGGGTGTGTTTTTAAAAAAGACACGTTTTAAGTGCAGACATGTTAAAAATACACTGAAATACTGATACTACTGATATACTGAGTACAGAGAATAATGTCTTAATATGTTAATATATGGTAATGTTATAAATACAAGATTCTGGACAAAATTAATGAGTTTAATAGAAAATGAAATTTACCAGAGGCAAAGTCAGAAGTGAAGAGTGATAATTTTCACATTTCTCTCAGTGGTTGACACTTGATTATAACGCCATGAAAATCTCGAGATAATTACCACATGTGGTCCTTGCAAAAGTGATATGAGTCCATGAGAAGAAATGGAAGCAGATACCTTGACATTTGTAACTTCACTTTACCTGGCATATATCATATCTTGGACATTTATCATGTTCTGGGAGAAGCTTTTCAGCTAACTAGCAGCACAAATAACAGCTTCCTGGTGAAAGAAAATAGCAGACTTGAGTTCTTAAAAGCATACACTATACATAACAAGAACCACATTAATACTGTAATTAATATTGTTAATATTATTCTTATTACTATCATTATTAAACACTAAAATGCAGCCAGGCACAAAGCTTCAGGCTGAAGTTCATCTGAAAGAAAAAAATCAAAGTGACATGCAAACGTTCTCTTCATTCCTCTTTGTCCTCCTTGACTTCATCCTTCTTACTGTCGTTGCCATCAACAGTGGAGGAAGGTTTTTGTTCACAGTTTTTTTTGTCCAGTGAGAGCTCCTGCTGGCTCAGGTTTTAGTATCAGCAGCTGCCATTGGCTGAGCATGGAGAGCTCTGATTGGTTCTCAGTCTGTTTGGCACATCGTCCAGTTGGCTTCAGAACTCGTATAACAATACTATGTGTGTGTGCACGTGCAAATGTTAGGGTATTGTGTTTCACAGGTGACAACTTATGTCAGTGTGTACTGATGTACTGTATAGGCAAATTGGGATGTGTTTTTGTGTCTGTTACTATATTTGTGTGCTGATAATAGACAGGGATGGACACTTTTTCTCATACGTATTTGGAGTACTGTTTATAGTGAGGTCACGTTATCTCATACTGTTGTTAGAAACTACACATTTATTTCAATGATCGTTTCATAAAATCTTGGAAGATAAAAAGGCTTGGTTGGGCACTATTAGGATAGAAACTTTTCTGGATCTCTTAGAAATTTAGATTGTAAATTAATAGCTGAAAACACATTCTTTCTAATCATCTTGTTTAATTCAATTTAATGTAAATAGCGGTTCTCCACATAAGGTCAAGTTTTATTGAAGCTAACTGGGGAGTCCCAGTTAGCTTCAATAAATGTCCTTTAAGGCCTTGATGTCTTGAGTCTGTGTTTTATTGTATGTGATAAGAATGACAGATTTGTTCAATCTACATCCTTTAACCGCATCCCAGAGAAAGTGGAGAGTAAATATGTTAGTGGTTTGAATAGAGTCAGCTAATTCTCAAATTTTCATAATGTTAAAGATTCCTGGATGCAAAAGACAGCATCATAACCAGACAGTGCCAAAGGCATGTAATGGTCGAATAGGCCCTCAAATACAGTTGCATAGGCCATGTGAAACATAACAAGTCTAAACAATATGTATTATGTTATATATATTTGTGAATGAGGCTGGCTGACCTCCAAACATCTCCCCAGGTCTCAGGCCACTGTTGCAATGTCTTGCATGCTGTTTTTTGATGAGACATGTATAAATCTATAACAAAAAGCCTTAGCAACAAACTGAGGGCATAGACAGAGTTTAATGTACGCATTTACCAGTCAGAAAGAGTCATATGAAGTAACACTGCTGAGTTGCATTATGGGAACTGTAGGATTGTGTGTTTTTGGAGCATACTATATTTTGACGCTTCAAGTCTTTCTTTTAACTTGCGCCCCACTACAGTAACACTGGGCATTTGGCTGCACTAGTGTTAAAAAGACACACAGTATTGTAGCAGAATGATGGGTTGTTAGTTCTATTTAACATGCACCAGCATTGTCTGTGTTTTTAGAATTTCACCGCTATGAAATAGCCATCTGAATAAAGACTTTTTACTGTTTGTCAGAAGAGTGCCTCGAACTTTTCTTCCTTTTTCCTACACAAAGGGGGCTTTGGAATAAATTGTGATTTTTTTTGTATCAGCATATATTTGGACTTGTTTTGCCCATCCCTGTGTATAGCACGTGTGTGTGTGTGTGTGTGTGTGTGTGTGTGTGTGTGTGTGTGTGTGTGTGTGTGTGTGTGTGTACCAGTCCATGCATCTCTTGGGTCTGGTAAAAGTCTCTACTAATTCGAAATTTTCAGGCAGAAAAAAGCAAAAACAATTAGGAACAATAATATCATTATCATTATCAGTTATCACGATTACTACTTTTTCATGGATGTGATTTCTCAGGACGTCTGTTTTGTCCATAGCACTTGCACTAATTTTTAACAAGATTTGGATTTTATACCCACAATTCCTGATCACATCCCTGATTAATATTGTTATTGCATTAAGTCAGCATCACTACTTTCCTTATTTTCTATACAAGAGGAGCCTCCATGACAAAAATCTATGAAACCATGATGTGTTTGTTTAGAAAACTGTCCACTGTGCTTGATTGTTCTTCATGAATGACCAGCCATCTTTCTTGCTGATGGTCAAGCGATTCACTTCATAGGTGGGCAGGTCTGAGCTGAAGCCTGACAGCCATGTTCCAGTCTTTCTAGTCTAGATTGTTAAAGAGCTAGATCAGGAGTCCTCAGAAAGATTTGTTTGGCTTCAGATTAAAACTGGGGCAGATCACCCATGGTGAGTGGTAAGTGGTCACCGAAGGAGATGACAAGCATTTCCATTCATTTTCAGAGGGGAACAGGGGGTGTGTGTCGACTGGCTGTAAGGCACTGGCTTGGGCGTGGTCAAGAAAGATCAGTCATGCTGAGGCTCATGGGTAATCCTGGACGGAGGTAAGCCACTGGTACACGACCATTCTCACTGGTCGATC